CTTGCTCATCTTTAATGTTGGTTCATTTTTTCTTTGGAAACTTTCGGATCCTTGCCTTCTGTTATTTAATTCTGCCTGACATTATCGTTCTGGCCTAAATTATACTACCAGAGTCATGTGACCTCAAGCCGCATTAGCCAGCCGATGTAATATAATCGGCTGGCTTAGCTGGCTAAGCTGCCTTAGCCGCGGCTGCCCTAACCGGCTTGTAACACTAACTACAGGTAGAGCAATAGTACACCCGATGTCTGTGTGTTAACAAATTTTGAAACCTGATTGGCTAGATCAGGTGTAACGTAAAAGATTTTAAAAAAACAACTGAAACTAACGTTTATTGGCTAGATCAGGCGTAATATAAAAAACAAACTGACCCGACCTGTGATAAATCCTTCGGACCTTAAATTGTAAGATATAAGTGTTAGCTTAAAAACAAAAATTGTCTTTTCTTGCAAAACATATAAATTTTTATTTTTAAATACAACTAAATTTGATAGTATTCTTATTATAGTTTCTTAAGCATATTCAAAAAAAAAAAACTTTGGATAGAATCAGAAAGATTTTTTAGAAGAATTGTAATATATACATCATTAAAATAAATCTTAATGGAATAATAAATGTACCATCAAAGAATTTTCATTTCTGTCAATAGTACTAAACTTCAACTAGAGTTGTAAATTTATAGCAATTTTTAATTTTTAATGTAAGTTATAGGCATGTTACTTACATGTAAGTATGTAAATTAAATAATATATAATATAAATAGGATTTTACTATAAAAATAACTCACTAGAACTATATAAATTTTATAAAAAAGTTAAATTGCTAACTTTTCAATAATCTAATAAAAATATTTCGTAGAGCTTAGTGGCTTACAATCAGCATGGTTCTAAAGGACTATTTTTTTATTGCATCATATAATTTATCAGTTTATATTAATCTGATTGTTTAATTCAAATGATAATTTACCATACATCACAAATTTTAGATAACTAATAACCAACTAGCATTAGATATCTTACATTAATCAAAAAGAAACTACTATAGATTAATATTACATAGTGCTAGCAAACAGAATATATTTTGAAACACAATAATGCCATGTCTGCAATAATTATTAATTTTCAGAAAAATTTTACAGATAATAAGATTTCTAAACTATATATATAAATATAACTTGCTATCATACAAGTAAGTATTTGACTTCCGTGAACGGTCAATTTTTACGCGATAAGCTAAACCAGTAATCACGCATTTTTTCCGTTTGGTCAAGGCAGGGTCTAAAACTTATGATGTGGTCTTAAAATGCCTTTTAAAAGTCTGATAAAACGTTTATAAAAAAAAAAAATTTCTTCATATCGTTTTATATTCACAAAATAAAAAATTTCAAGCACATTAAAAAATCAGGTTAATATTATCTTTATATCAATCCTTAAGTTTACAGAAAAGAAATATATGTTTTTTATAATTTTCTAAGGTTTTACTTAGAATAACTCGCACTGATTAATTAGCTAGTTTCTGATATAACGTATACATAGGTGTAAAACACCATATCCCCCCAAAATAATACCCCATGATTAAGACCCGGGTATTATTCACCATCCCTATCATCCTGTTTCTTGAATAAGACCCGGGGGGTATAACTATATTGATTTACTGCTTTTAATATAATATTTCCCCAAATATAGTACCCGGTTCTTCACACAGTATCCACGGGAACTATTCAATTTTAAAAATGGAGTTCTTGAATAAGACCCTGGGTATTGTATACAGTGGCCAATGGTAAATGCGTTTAGTAAAAGGGCACCTACCTCAATGAATTCAATAAAGAATCTGATTGGCTAGTTTGATTTCAGATTCGTTATTTAGTCCATTGAGGTAGATGCTTGAGAACGCCCAAAGTCAACTATTAAAAGCTCTTTATTGTTTAAATAACTTTCGTACTTATTTTTGCTTTCGTAAGGAAATTTTTTCTAGTTCTTTATTTAAAATTTAATGTTACATTATTTAAAAAAAATTTTATAAACTCTTTCTTATAGAAAATTATTATGTTTCATTAAGCGTCTATAGTATTTTTTAGGCCGAAATATTATAGAATTTGAAATTTCTGAGCTCGTATATCCAGAGTTCGTTATAGAAGGTTCATTATATAGAATCAACGGTATAGGTATAAAAAAATTTTTTTTATTAAAGAAAAATATACCGTATAAATCTGTAAAGTAATTCTTTTTTTTTTTTTAAAAAAAAAAAAAGGTCGTTAAATACAGAAATAATCTTTTTGAATATATTTACAGTACTTAAAAACTTTATATCATATAAAAGAATAAGTTGCTTAACGATTCCGTAGAGAACATTTTTAATGATAAGTCAATTACAACTGTTCTCGTAAATTCTGGGACAACTGAAAAAATTTCTGATACCGAATTCGGTATAGAAAATAGTACAGCGATATAAACTTGCCCCCAACCAAATATTTTAAACCAAACCGTAGCATAATAAGTTTTTTTTTTATTAAGCTACAAGATGGAGAACGATTAATTACAATTTGTTCAAACATTTGAATGAAAATCTTTAATAAAGATATTTCAATAGTCTTTTAGAGAAATTTGAAAGAATAATTTGAGATTGTAAAAGATTTTGCTCTTAATTTTTTTTGCGCATATACAGTAAGTTGTGTATCTAATCGTATGTAACGAATTTAAGGTAATGTAATGTAAGAAATATTAAGGTATACAACAAAGAAAATAAATAAAGCAAATAATGTAACAAGAAGTTTTATAAATAAAGAAATTAATCTATTTTTTTTTTGCTTACAATATTTTAAGAAACCTTAATCACCAAATATAAATATCTAATCTAATCAAATTTTTTCCATTAGCTTCACTTTTCGCCAATTTCCAAGATTCTTCATCTTTTAATCCAATCATATCACCCCGACTATTCTTAAATCTAAGATTAATTTTACTAGCATTTAAATTAAATCTTGTTTCAAGATCGAATAATAATCTGTGATATGGAGAATCAATTGGATAAGCAAGTGCTCGTCGTTCAGTTGGAAATACGCAAGTCAAATACATTTTCTACAATAAGAAAGTGAGATGAAAGGTTTAGATATTTAAAAAAGTTGATAAGGAGATTAAAATAAAAACAAGTTATTATAATAAAAATAAATACTTTATGACTATCTTTAACAAGTTCATTATTAACGCCATGTTTACGGAACCACAATTTTTCAATTCCAAGAGCAATTTCGGTCAACATAGAAAGGTTTCCAGAACGGTCAGGAGCCAATAGAAGAGAATGTAACGCATTAAACTTTCCATTAGTTGGATCCGAAGTAGAAATAGTTGGTTCTAAAAGATAAGGATAACCACCAAGATGATGACGATACTAAATTATTTTTTTTTTTAAAATAATAATAATAATAATATAGTGAATAAAAAATAAAATTAAATTAGGTTTAAATAAAAAATAACCAATTAAAATGCTTAACAGTTCTTTGAATATTCGGTTTAAATCTTAAATTAATTTTTTCATCACTAGTGATCTTGAATCCGGTCAATTGATTAAATGGAATAGAAACTTCGTCGGACATTCCATTTAAACAAAAAGAAATTTCACCCCCACCTTCAGATTGCATAGAATCACCAATTCTATATAAAAAAGCTAAATCACCAATATATTTTGAATTTATAACAGCAGAAGGTCTTCCAGCAAAATATTCAAATTGACATTGAATAATATCAATTTTTAATAATTCTTGAGGTCGACAGAATAAAGGAGAAGGAGAAGCAGATTTTGAAGTTTCTATTGACGCAAGGTAATCAAAAGAAGTTGAAGACATTGGAATTGAAGAAGAATTATTAAGAAAATCTT